CACACTGGCATGTCCAGGTAACTTGTCAATGTGTCCTGCATGTCCTGTGTGTTTGTGTTTGTGAGCGTGTGTGTGTGTCCATGTGTTCTTTTTGTTCCTCTCACACCTCATTTCTCACAATACACGTCCCAGAATCGGATATTTGGTGAGCGTTCGTTTCCTGTGGCAGAATGTGCCACATGCTTTGTGTTTACACCAGCTTGATAAGAATCTGCTTTTGTTTAGTTTTTTCCCCTCGTCCGCAAAACACTTTGGAGCAGGCACATTCCAGGATTTGGGAAAAGGTGGTTCCGGCCGGAAAGCTGCATGAACGTACAGGAAAAGAGAACCGGGACAGCAATCCGGATCTGCAGTGGTCCAGCGGCTTTCCATGTTCTTGAACGCCACTGTACATTTCACACACCCACAAACATTCATCAATCAATGGTCAATATTTTTCCTTTCTTTTCCCTTGAGCTTAATTTCGAACTTAATGACTTAACCCTACTCTCTTAAATGAAGGTGTGATTTCGGAGTGTTCTTTGGACTGTTGCCAAAGAAAAAATCCTGTTCTCCAAAGCAGAGGTGTAGCTCGATATCAGTGCATTAGCCTTTTAATCTGAAGCTCCAACTGAGTAAAAGATGTACCTGTGGGACATGTAAAAGTGAGATCTCGTCCCTGATTTAACGATAACTACAAATGCTAAAACTGTCAAAATGTCAAAACAAATGTCTAAGTCAATGCATTTAGACATCAAAGGTAATTGATCATTTTTCACCTCCACTGTAGTAGAATAGCCTAGCCTTTAGCCTAGGATGACCAGTTTTAGGTTTTTAAGTTTGCAGTGTTGTTTTTCCTCATCTGCATCTCAGCTGTTTGATTTTAACCCTATAGTGACACCTTCTAAATGTTCTAAAGAACATTTTAATGGATTGTAAATGATATTTATGACTGTGAAGAACCTTTTTAAAGTTTAAAGAACCTCCACATAATGTACCAATTCAAGTTTTATTTTTCAGAAATGTATATCTAAACCAAGAACCATTGAGGAACTTCTATTTTTAAGAGTGAAACTGTCACTTATTCCTCTTTCACTCTATATATTAATTCTCATAATTGAACAATGTTTTTTTAATACATTAGGCTGAATGTTGTGCCACATACACAGTCTTGTGTGAAAGCAGGTTAAGGGCCCATATCCTATATTTTTTGATGTTTTACCTTTTACCCTCAAGGTCCAGACTGAAACACTTTATACATTTTGTGAGTGGGTGGGGTTACACTTCTGTAGGCTGAGTAGGTGGAGATAAATAAATGTGTTGATTTTCCTGATTTCACAAAAACAGTAAAATCAAAATGGACTGTTTTTACAGCTTGGTTTCCATATATGGCCTGTATGGACTGGGGTTTAAACATTAAGTTTTGAAAGTGTAACTACTTTTACATGCTACTATTCAAATATTATCAATGCTCTTTCATTTCAAAATAGTAAGTGAAGGGTTTTCCATGATATGGGCCCTTTAACTTGCTTTTGTTCCAGAGTCTGGGAGTCATGGAAACAGAAAGACAATAATCCCCAGGTCCTAATGGATGACTACTAGATGATTCGCAAAAAGTTTATCTGGAGTTTATGCTTGTTGCTGGAAATGGACCTGATTCACTCAGAGAAGATAAATACCACTTGTTTTGCTCCAGTTGTTTTTGCTGAGTTATGTAATCCAGTGGCTCTCAGGTCAATCACCTTCGCAATCACATACATCTGACTCAAGGACACAGGCACAAAAACACGGGGGCAACGGCACAAAAACTCCAAAATACCACTCCAGCTCCATCTCTCAGTATTTTATTCCAGAACAGTGAAAACACAAGTATAAAAGATCTCAATATGAAATTTACATTCACATATATCACCATTGCAATCAATACATTGCAACCCCAAAAATAGCACATAAATTTAAGATCATCAGTAAAATACTTTCTGTTTACTCTACAGAAGGTTTCATACATACAATAATTTTAACCCGTATCAAATATGAAAATATCTAATTCACATGAAAATCTAGTCTATATAGTTTTTTTTTCTACTGTGCACGTTTTATGCATTAATAAAGTCGATCTGATCATAATATTTCGAACGGCAGTAAATTAGGCCACTGGAGTTTGCAAATAGAAAATAGAACCATTTTTGTCATGTGGCTACATTTGTTTGATCATAAAATCTGAACTAGGCCTACTCAGAGATAAAACGAAGATTTTGGCTTACGAATAATGATTGAACCTTTCGTATAGAAAGATGAAACTATGTTAGATCTCTTGGTCACTGTAGCCCCTTAAAAAGCCTTCGCTCGTGGGGTGAATGGAGGTTCTTGGGCCGTTAGAAGTGCAACAAAGCTCAAAGAATCTGAAAGTGTCATTTGAAACACAGTGCATTTCTTTTGTATCCAATTACAAGCTTAGAGAGCTTTGTTCTTTGTGACACAAAATAGATATACTTTAGCTAAGAGCGCGTTACTCGGCACTGATAGATATTAAAGAAAATATACTTCTTTGAAACTCCGAAACACCCAACATCTAAACGTCCCACCCCGAAAGTTTCACAGGAAGCCAAAACTGTGCCCTTGGTGGATCCAGTGCATATGAAACTACATTTTGAAAAACAACATCAGAAGTGGAATCAAACACAATATCACAAAATTGTGCTACAATAGAACACTGGAGTTGATATGTTGGTAACGATATGTGTTGGCACAAAGGAATACACCCACCCCGACAACCCCTGGATAGAAGGCAGTCACCTCAAGAGCCAAAAAGGCGGCGATGCTACAATACTCCCAAGCTTTCTCCAACACTTGACAGCACCATGCATGGAGAAGGAAAGCGAACGAGCTGTTGATAAAGGTTTGAATCCAAAAAACACAGTAGAAATGAAAAAAAAGGCCACTCGTCTGGGCTCATGCAGTGCAGCTAAAGCCTTTTTTCGTTTTCTTTGACACATTTCACCCTTTTTTTTTCGGTTTTTGCATTAGTCATGCATTAGAGACACATTGCACTTAGCAAGAAGAGCAGACAAGGTAGAACTATGGCATGCGAAGAGGGACATGCAGAACGGCATGCTTGAAGCCAACTTCATTCCCTAGGCATACTTGGAGAAATATCAAAGCTATAGTCACATTTCCTTAAAAAACAAACAAAAAAAAAGGATAAAAAAGAAGATAAAAGAAAAAGAATAAACATGAGAGACCAACTGATCAGACCCACCTATTTAATATAGAACCTGCCATTGAGCCTCAGACCACCTGAATGCAAGTCTGTGGCCTTTGCATGCTCTGAAAAGATCCAGATGTTCAAGAAAAAGAGAACAGAAGGCTCAGAGAACGTTTGACAGCAACCACCAGCTTACTGTGCCATTTAAATCTCATGCAAGTTTGATCCTGTGAGCTAGCACTTTTCGTGCTTCTTGTGCAAGCACAAGGCTAAATCTCCTTTGCCAGCAGCACTAGCAGGATCAGGTTGAGTGTTAGCCTACTTAGAAACTCTTAAAAAGAACAAATATCAAAACCAGTTCTGCGAATGAGAACACGCCACACAAGCTATTTTTAACCTCAGCAAAAGTTCTGTTGTGTTTTTTTTTTCATCCCCGGCGGATACTGAAGTTTCTTACAGTCGTGTTGGTTCATGTTATGGTTCATGAACAGCTAAGCCACCGAATCTACAAGCTAATCAAGCTGATATTTCAGGCTAAGTGAATTTGCGGAGCGCACCGTCAGCAGGGTGGAAATGTATCTCCAAGGCAAGACCTTGCTCTGCTCTTGTGTTTATGCTGGACAGGAAATTTCCATCTCATTGAGAGGTCAAAGGACAGCAGGAAGTCTCTGACGTCGAGAATGTTCCCTCCGTGCGTAAACGTTAGCAGCCGTACAAACACAAACTTTGCTGATCCCAGCCACACTGGGACCTGACCCTTATCTAAGCAATTAGAAAGACTGTAAATGATAGGAAAACTGACTGATTTCTGTTCGTCAGCAGTTAGAAAAGATTTTGGCCTCTATGTTCTGTCATCACTGTTCAGTCTGGTTTTGGCAAGTCACTCGAAAAGGCAACAACTGCAGACAAATACTTTGAAGGTTACAAGTCAGAGATCCCATTTACTGTACATCTGCACAGGCAAGTGATTCACCTTGCCTTTTCATATGTTTCCAATAAACTGAACAGGAACACCAAATGTAAGATTTCTTTCCTGAACCAAATGATTTCGAGAGCACTCAGTTCTCACAACTTCTCTCCCTGCCAGGTTTACTCACTGTCTGTTGCATACAACTACACTCACACGCACACACACATAAACACACACACATACATGCAATCACACACGCACACATAAAAAATGTAAAATACAGCGCCGTTTTGATTTTAAATGTTCAGTCCACAATGCATCCACATGCTCCGAATAGTCGATGCCGTGGCATTAATTCTCTGGCATTACTGAATGTTTTCACACACAAATGAACTAACGCACAGTCACACACACACACCAGCACACAGAGGAGGGCGTGTGTCCTCTGTTGGTGTGAAGCTGCCATTACTGTAGAACACGTGCTCCAGTTCAGGAGCCCCTGATATCTAGATGGACTGAGGAAGACTCATTAAAACACACACTCGTACACACACATGTGCACATGCGCACATACAAACACACACACACACACACACACACAAAAAGACAAAACTGCTTGTTATGTTTACGTGTGTGTGTAAGGGGAAAGGTTACTCTCCTCATTAGAGAATTCAATGTTTCTCCTCTTGTGTAAACATCGTGGTCACCCTGTGGACAGCGAGGTGGGCCTCTTTTTTCTAGCCATGCCCTTCCAGCATCTTTTCCGACCTCTCCTCCTGAGTCGTTCTTTCTTTCTCTCACACTCCATCCCTCCATGTCCTTCTTTTTCTCATCTCGCTCCCTCTTTTCTCCCTCCTCCTCGCTTTGCAAATAGGTTGGTCGCCATAGAAACCGTCTCCTCATCAGTCACACCTCCTTCTCCATGTCAACGGACACGGAGGGCAGGTACAGGATGCTGTTGTTGGAGGGGGCAGGGCCAGGGCCCATGCTGGGTGCTTTGACCCCATAACTGCTCACAGTGGGGGCTGGGCTTAGCTTGGTCCGGATGCAAGGGCTTGTCCGGCGCTCCAGGCTTTTGGAGCGTGTCTGGAAACTGCCCTCGTTCGATCGGCCCTCCAGAAAGTAGGTGAGCATCTGACCTTTGCCTTTGACGCTGACCTGACCACGACACAGGAAGCGGTAATGACCGGAGAGGAGGCGGAAGACATCTTCGGTCACCTGCCAGTACACAAAGCACAGTGGACGGGGTTTGTTAAACATCGGTGTCAGGGTGTGTTTGTTGTGGTTTGTTATGTATGAGGAAACCATATTGTCCTATGGCTTCCGTGTGCATTTTCGAGACAGAAATGTTCTGATGGTAGGAAAATCAGAGAAAAACAGGGCCAATCTGCAATATCAGGGCCAACAAAGTGGTCTTCATAAGGTAAACTAACTTTACAAAACCTGAATGTTTCCTTTTTTAAAACTGAAAAGGCAACACTATTTCCTTTTTTGTTACTGAGGTGGTCTCACTTTATTTTCGACAGTGCACTGTAGCCCTCTCTTAATTATCTATAGATGTTCACATTGTTAACAAACTATCAGGTGAGTTGATTCTAAAAACACATGACTGCTTAGAATTAACTGTGTTTAGGGTTAGGATTTGGAACAGGGTAGGGTTAAGGTTAGGGTTAAGATTTAGAGTTTAGAGTTCAGAAAAATTCAGGTGAATTTAGTAGATATGTTGTTGAATGTAATCTAAAAGCTAAGTATCCACTAAGCATATAAAGAATACCATCCAAATAACTGTTACCACTGAGGTTAGGGTCAGGCTTAGACCATACTTATTATTTAGACACAATACGCCCAAAAGTTTGTAGACACCTGCTCATCCAATGTTTCTTCTGAAATCAAGGGTATTTATAGGGAGTTTATCCTCTTTCACTGCAGTAACAGCTTCTACTCTTCTGGAAAGGTGTTACAATAGTTGTTAGAACATTACTGTGAGGATTTAAATGCATTCAGCCACAAGAGCATCAGTGAGTTTAGGTACTGATGTTGGACGATTATTTCTGGATCACAAATGTCTCTCAGACTCAGCCTAAAGGTATTGGACAGAGCTCCATCACTCCAGAGAATGCAGTTCCACTGCTCCACAGCCCAGTGCTGGGGGGCTTATACTCCTCTAGCTGATGCCTGGCATTGGATATGGTGACCATAAGCCAAGTATATAGAGTGTAATTTGGGAAATTGTATTCTTTGACAACTCAAATTGTTGAGAAAGTGAGTGTGCTATAGCAGCTTTGTTACCACGAGATGAGGTACTTGGTAGGACAATATGAACTCAGTGGTCTATGGTGTGAGAGAGACTTTAAAAAATCTGTGTTAACTTTTCTACCTCACAATTCCATTCAGCCATACAGAGTAAAGTCAGCATATACTGACTGTACAACGCACATCAGATGACGGCTAATAAAACTGAAATTTGGCCTGGTGCTAAAGTTTAGTCGGCCATGATCAAATTTTGAAAATCGCAAAGTGGAAATGGGACCCGTTTTGTAGAATGACTCCACTAGGGGGCCTGAAGAAAAGGGTTAATTGTTTAACTTGTTGCTATTTTTCTCTGAAAATACAAATACAATAGCCATGAAGCTGCATGACTGCACCTACTTACATATTTTGGTTGTTACACTAATCTGAACCATTTTTGGTGTCTTTGCCCGGGCAGTTAAGTGTCGTGGCATGCCATCCCTGCCCTCATCAGACCACCACCAATCAGTATTGACCTCACAAAACACTGGTCAGTCCATCTCTGTTTATACATATATGACTGTGTTTTACCTGGATCTTGCCCTGTACTCCAGTGCTGTCCATTCTGCTGGCTACATTGACTGTGTTTCCCCATATGTCATACTGAGGCCTGCGAGCACCAATCACTCCAGCAACCACTGGACCTACATTTATACCTGATCAATCAGTCAAAAAAGAAAACCAAAAAAAACGAATCAATCTCTTTATCCTACCATATAACGTAAGAGTGTCCACTTGTCAACACTTTTGTGTGCATGTGTAACTACCACACTGGCCATGTACAATGTGCGAGATGTTCAGGACATTCTAACAATATCGACAGGATACACAATACAATACACACACTCACTCTCTGACGCTTTTCCTCTACTCAAGCTTCCAAAGCCGCTCAGTAATACGCATAAATATTTATGACCGTTTAGCTTCACACACACAAGCACTCAATAATTCATTCATTGCTTATTCAAAAGTGTCAGTTCACTCACCCACTCGAAGCACAAAGTCATTGTATGACTGGTAGTTTATCGCATCCAGAACATCGAACATCTCTATAGCAAAGTCAGCCACTGTGCATAAATGTGCTGAGATAGACTTCTTGGGCTTTAGGAAAAGAGTAGAAGAAGATGGGAAATGGCATTACAAGTGTTTTTTCAACTCATGTAAATGACATTAGTTGCTACAGTAATATTCAAATAGGGAAAACATTAAAGCACTGGAATGTAGGTCAGTCTGATTCATGACAGCCCAACTTAAAATCACTCAAAGCTGTAAGATAATCACAGCATTTACAGATACTCAGGGTCTGATGCACTAAGTCTTTTGTACTGTTTTCAGGCACAAAACAGACTCATTCTGCCCATGGGTTATGTACAAAACTGGCACACAAGCTTAAACCCCCAGTTTATGCACTGTGTGCATGGTAAAAAAGCTAAATATGCTTCTCTCCCTCATGAATTTAAGGAAGGGCCATACAAAAAGAGTAAGTACTGTGCAAAAAGTGGGTGGAGATGTTACACATGCACCTGATTACTTATTCCACTGGATTTACTGAAGTTTGAACGAACAGTTTTGCATTGATTTTCCTCCAACTTTTTAAACCAGAAGTAAATTTTGTACTAGGAACAGATTTTTTTTCCAAGAAACTCAATTGATATATTTTCTGTTTTGTCTGGAGCTTTGTGTGTCACGTTTACACCTCTCTTATCTTAGTGCCTCTTTAAACCTCGCACCTCACGAGTGTGCATTTAGTGGGCAGGGCTACGGTTTGCGTGATAAGCTGTAATCTTAGTAAATCGAACGCAGATGCATTGTGGGTGCATCTTGCGGTCACATCAAGGCACATTTTTCCACTGTGTCTGCGCTCGAACGTACATCTGGCCCCCTGTGTATTATGTTTGATATATTTTTTCACTAAAGCCTTACTCTGCAGGTTGGGGTTTAATGAAAGTGTGGTGGCATTTTTGCTTCGCAGGCAGAAAAAGTTTAACATAGCTAAAAGTTTTCAGCATGACACATCAATATTCTCCTCTACTGGGGCCTGCTCTCACATGCCACACACTAATTCTTTTTCTTTGTGTTCTTAAGCTCTACTTCTGTACACACAGACTCAGTGTACCTTGGATCCAGTAGTGGGAACAAGGCCCACTGCTGCCATGTAAGTGCTGCCAATGGTTTTGATCTTCTCAATGTCCCTATAGTATTCCTTATCCAGCAGCTAGAGAGACAGAGAGAGAGAGAGAGAGGGGAGAGACAAAGAAAAAGAACTAAGCAGCTGCTGAAATGGCCAGAATAAATCAAAGCCCTGCTGTATGGGATTATAGCAACTCACACAGCAAGTACTCGATTTTTAATACATGAACTCGATGAACCCAGGGAAACATGGATTTGGATGTAACAGGCTCCTGCCAGTTTAAACAAGAGATAGAGAGAGCGTTCCTCACCGCGTCGAAGTCGGCAATGATCTCGTTGAGTAGCCGCAGACATTCCACACCCATGTTGTTCCCATCCAGTTCGATGTAGAAGTCGTTGAAATTGGGGATGGAGGCAAACAAGACGCCCACCTGAGAGTAAGACTGATAATACAGGTCCTGAAACAGATGGAGCAAAAGACAATAATCATCAGCTCAGATGTCACTGATTGGAGTAGCAGATTCATAGTTCATATAAATAGACACATTAATTCCAATCCAGTATTAGAAGTTGAACTGCACTATATGGACTGGGATGTTTTTTATGATTTAGACTACAGCAATTCACGTCTACTCTGAGTTGCCAACGTATTGGGTACAGTTACATTTTACTACACTCACTCACTTTTATCAGGTACCATTTAGGTGCACATTATAGTTTTCAATTATGGTCAGACTTGCAGTTGCTATCTGTTCCTGCACTATTTATCAACTTTCTACCCCATCCATCAGTGGAAAGGGACCACCACATGGTTCACAGCACCAACATAGTAGCGACATGTCAGTGCGTGTTATGTTGGTATATCACATACAGCAACACTGGTGTAAAAAGTAAAGAGAGACTGAAAAGTATGGGGACTACATCAAACTCTTACTCAATTAAAAGTGGAAATGTGGAGAAAAAATATATACTTGAGTTACAGAGACCACACGTCCTCTTTTTCCATGAGCAGTCCTATTTACGGGACCTAAAAAACACATCTGGCCGGGATATCTAAATTGCCTAAAGTGTCCAGGATTTGGCTTTGCTTTCATGTTGACATTTGCTTTCTACAGTCTGCCCTGTGTTGCCCTCCTGTTCCCAGTGACCAAAATATGCTCACCGTACTAGAGTAAAAGTCAAGATGTACTGACATTTAAACATGCACAAGTATAAGAAGTAAATATTTTAACAAATGAAATAATAAACTGTCCTTTATTTCAGTGTTGGTGCAGTGGTGGTACAGTGGTGTGTTGTACAGCATCTAATCAAAAAACACCATAATCAAAAATACCATAGTTGTGGCCAATTTCATTTTACACTGATATGACTTTGGTTGGATGTTTTAAAAGTCAATACATTCAAATGCAGAGGAACTTGGTGGATTAGCAAGAGAAAAATCTCCTGGCCACTTAGCACTTTTAAGGTCTAAGTGAGAATGTAAGGCATAAAAAGGTGTTAAATCTTTTGGAAATAATTCTGATTAAAGGAAAAAGTATTCATTTTCAATAATACTTGAATACAGTTCAAATTTTCTAAAACAGGCATGTCAAACTGGGGCCAAAGTGTTGTGGACATTAATATTTACCCTCATCTACTGCTTTGAATTCAGTTCATGAAGGCCTCGCTAATTAGCTGATGAGCTGAAACAGGTGTGTTTAATGAGGCAGCATTCTAAAGTCTGCAGTGTTTTAGCCCACGAGGACGGGAGCTTGACACATATGTTCTAAAATAATACTTAAATACAATACCTAATCATAATTCCTGCACGGTCATGGCAGTAATTAGGAGGCCTGGACAGGAGTTAAGAGTATTCTTAAATGCTTAGTGCTTTTACCGAGAAACTCCAACAAGAGTGAAACAGATTTAGTGTCAGGGACAGTCTGGGGGTGTAGAAAGCATAACTCACCCCAACAGTCATGTGAGTGTGAGCTGTGCATGAAAGAGTGTGTGTTCGGAAAATGATTTTCTCCTTCTGTTTACAAAATAATTCCACACTTAGGAGCTTGTTTCCTGGTGAAGAGGTTCCAGGATGTTTGGTTACCTCACTTCCTTGGAATGGGCTAAGAGAAGAACAGAATCTGGCAGTGCTCACATTAACCCTTCAGCTGCTGCAGAACCACACCATATTAATCCTTAGCAGTAGGTAGACTACATTCATTCATCCTTGTTATATTAGACTATCGAATATTGATTATCCTTAAAGACCTTAAAATAACAAAGTAGAGCAGCAAAGTGGTGCAGGGGCCTAACCTGAAAATTCAACCTATTTACACAACCACAACATAGCATCATCAAAGGATCTGTGTTAACCTTTCACCTAAAATTGAGGGGAACACTGCAACAGCGCAACAGAGTGGCGACACTGGGAACTGCAACAGGTTTTTTATCGATAAAGCCACAGAACTCACTGTGAGGCACTGCACAGTTTAGGGTTTACCCTGTTCATACTATCTCCAGGGAAACGGTCTGTTATAAAGTCCAATTTTGGGTCAAGGATGTTGGCCTGTACAATTTTTTTGCACCCTCAACCATATCATCATTTGGCAGACAAAGGGCTTCTTTTCAATAACTGATACTGTATTTGATACAGAACAGTAACTGATACTGTTTTGATTTGATCACCTATCATCTACATTCATGGGCTATTTTATCAGATATGCCCACCCTATAGGTGCACCTGTAGGTTTACAATTACTGACTGTAGCACACCTGTTCCTGCGCAGTTTATCAGCTTTCTACCCCATCCATCAATAAAAAGGGACCACTACTGGGCCACCACTGACCAGAAATTACACAGCAGGGACACCAACATGGTAGTGGCATGTTAGTGTGCTATGCTGGTATGAGCATATCAGACACAGCAGCTTTGTAGGTAAGTTCCTAAAAAGCCAGAGGGGTATGCAAAGGACAGAGAAACTGAAATATATAGGTACAAAGTCAAATTCTCACTCAATTAAAAGTGGAAATATGGAGCAAAAAATATACTTGAATTACAGTGACCATACATCTTCTTTTTCCAGGACAGGTCCTCTTTTTGGGACCTGAAAACACATCCGTCCTGGATTTTTTAAACTGCCACAAATGTTCAGGACTTGGCAGTGCCTGCTCTCAGTGTCCTCTTTTTTCAAAACCAAAAATATGGTCACCCTACTTGAGTGAACTGACATAGAGGGCTTTTTATTACGAAATGACGCTGTAATTACTAGCCTATAATGTATTAAGTTTATCTAACATATCAATTTAAATGTATGTAGTGGTCTGACGTAAGTATTTGCCAGATGTTTTCAGACATAATTATAGTGAACATGTCTTTTACTAATGATTTTTATGTGATACAAATAAGTTATGCTGCAAAATAAATCTCAATATGTCAGGCCTAATTGCATACTGCTTTTATTTAGCAGTAGCTATTGGTTAAATGGCACTCCAGCCAATATGATAAATGTAACCATTGCCACATCTGTTATAAACATGCCTACTCACATCATACAGTGGTGTGGCAGAAGTCTCGAGAGTGAGATTTTCCTGGATTAAAGACTAGGAAAACCCCTTCTGATGAAGTATCTTGAAGGAGAAGATTCTCAAAAAAAAACAGTTTCTTTGAGGTGGATTTTGGGGGTGAGCTGTTCAGGGTTTCTTTATCCAATAATTGCAATGGATAAACTGGATTACATGACTCGGCAAAAAAGAAAGACCAGCTAAAAGCTAAAGTTAGCAAGGTAGCTAGCTGGCTAATAGATGTCTGACTTCAGTTTGGTTCATCTTCTCTGGCAGAAAGGGATAAAAAACCTGTCTCTGGTATCTATATTGCATGAAGCCATCAGCAAACAAGGTAAGAGTTACACTACTGCTAGCTTGGTTGTATTAATTAGCCTATAGATCAGTGGCTAGGGCTGCAGTCAGGACTGGTTGAGAACCACAGGGATTTGCTTGTTTGATATATTTCTGTAATGCATTCTGGGTATTGTAGTGAGAGAATACTGATGAACAAAAACATCAAAACAATGTAAAATTGTAAATCCTGTTAAACCAATGAGGCTGAGGTATATAATGCTGCGCTTCTTAATACTGCGTAACACAAATCACATTAAGCTCTAGTTTTGGTCTAGAATGCCCATTTAAGGCTATGTAACAGGGCATTTTTTAGCTATGCTTAAGATTAGAGAGGTCATGGCAAAGTTTTGGGTTTCATAAATGTTTTGTTTCACTGCATGTTTGCTATTTATATGAATATGTAATTTAATAACAAATTAATGTATTAATGTTTGGGCAAATTCCACAGGCATGACAAGCAAATGTCTCAAGCACCAAAATGTCTGTATATGTATATCATTGCTGTTCGAAAATCGTGTGTATCTAAAATGATAACTTTACATAAGACAGAAAAACCTTTACTTTTAATGTAAGCCAAAGGAACCAGACCTTTTTCCAAGTAATTTTGGGCCTTTTCTTTTGGTCTATTCATCATGAAATTTATGCACAAAGTAAAGGGCAACAGGCATTTTCAAATTATGTCAAAAACTGAAAAACACCAAAAACGGAGATATGAGGTTTTGTCCCAACAGCAGCGATATGTACATCATCGCTGTTGAAACAAAATAGTAACTTAACAGGAGGAGGACCTTTCAATGTAAGTTAATGTAAAGAGACTTTATTCCAAGCAATTTTGGACCATTTCTATTGGTCCTTTCATCATGAATTTTTCATACAATATAAAGGAAAGTTATTTTCAAATTATTTTTAAAAAAATGAAAAATGAAGACACAAGGTTTTGTTCTGACAGCCACAATATGTTCTTTCGTCCTTACAGACTACTGCACTGTGCAGTGCTGCAGCCTTGTAAAGCAGAGTGTATAGTACACTGATGTGGAGTATTATAAAGGGTCTGAGTTTAGGAAATCTGTTCTCTGATTCATTAGGAAAAAAACTGAAATGGTAAAGACTGTTGGACTGTCTTTGAATGTGTGTAAATATAGAGCTGAGAAATTTCTATAGAGCATATATAATGGAATAATGTGATATAAGGATGAAAGATGATGATGTTTCTGCAGTGAATGTACTCAGACCATGTTGCGTGGGTTGGACAGGAGAAAGTGCTGAGCCACATGAGCAGGAAGCAAGTTAAACAGAATCCTCTTGTTGTCCAGTTTTACTCTCTCCATGTCATCTCTTTCCTCTTCAGCCTGCAAACCACACACACACGCAATTTAACACAGACATGTAAAATTTAAAATTAGCAGACTTCTGATGTCATTTGTGTGTGCTTGTGATACTATAAACACAAAAAGGTATTTTACAAAACTAAATAGTTGATTGGTTATGCTGTTTAAATTATCATGAACTTTTTAAGAAGGATGCTTTTGAGAATAAAGCTAATTATGTTGTCCACAAGGGGGCACCATTGAACTGTGGAATCTAAAAAATATATCAGCATCTAAGGCAGCAGAACAAGCTTTGTCATCTTTAAAATACCTGATTCCATTAAGAGAGCTCTTGATTTTATACTAAAAAGTAGAAGCACGTGAACTTGAGCAGAAACAACATTAGGCTGCAGTGTTGTGCCAGTTCCATTAATGCACACATTCTGCAGTTTCTGAACCGTAATTGACATGCTGTTTGTATTATTTTGTGTGCTAGAATGCATGTGAATTAATACTGAAATAAGTTTAGATGTATATTCTACATTTTCCTTGTATTTTTCCTTGAATTTCTTCCTGTGAGGTCCACATTATCATGTCTGTGTAGGTTTATGTAAAACAGACATGGTTCATGTTTTGTCCATTTTTCAATCACTCTTCATCCTTTCAAATTAAACAAGCTGTTTTGTTAATGTTCCTTTAAGACCGACTGCCCTGTATCGTATCTCAATAAAATAAAATAAAAAACAGTCCTTATAACTTCAGCTCAAATACTCTTAATACCTTCAGCACGAATGCGCAGAGCTAATCTGTCTGAAGCTGAATCAGCACATATACTGTATGTAAAAGAACTGGTTTTGTGACATTACAAAACACAGGGAATTCAAAATAGGCTGTTTTTGCAGCTTAGTTTTCATAAATGGACTCTACGGAGGGGCTATTTTGAAACTTTAACAAATGTTTACATACGATATCAAATTCTCTTATTTCAAAAAAGGGGAAAAATAGGGTTTTGCATGATTTGGGCCCTTTAATAAATGCTAAGGGAAGCAGGATAAAACATAAACTAATGATATGCAAGGGAACAGAATCTTTAAACAACAAAACTATCTCTATGAATGAAAAACTGAAATCAGTTACAATGTGTGTTTGAATGATGTGCGCATCTTCTCTGCTTTCTCGTTTTTCCGGAATAAAGTCATCAGTCATAACATATGTTTTCTGCCAGTGTTATCATTGGTGAAAAAAAATCACACTCACAGAGTCGCTTGTGGTTTGGGGGCTCTAATTCACTGCTTATACAACTTGTAGCAAAATAGCTCTGCACACATAATGACCACAAGTGCACATTTAAATGCACATACCTGAGTGGCCCAGAGGTAGTCCAGTCTGAGTTTGAGGTCCAGTTGTCTGCAGTGGAGTATCAAGGCTCCAGAGAAAAGTAGCATTGCCAGCACAGGATCATACCCATATGTGTGAAAGAAGCCTCCTCTACACACACAAAGCACACAAATAAACACACTGATTAATCCTGACACACATTGATTAATATTTTTAATAGGCTTTGTTATGTTTCAGTGATGTTATTCTTCTCCTCCTCCTTCTTATTATTAATATTAGTATCAGTACTAGTAGTATCATACTGGTATCAGTAAAAAACTGCTTAAAAATTTTCAGCACCAGACAGATGTTTAGATGAGACTGATATTTGATTACGTATTTATAATGCTCCAGATGAGCCGAACATTCAGACGCTTCTGGATTAGTGCTCAAAAATGTCTGCATTTTATTCATTTTACTGCATTTGTAACCCTCTACAAATAAATGTTATATTTGATCATGAAGCTAATCCAGATAGATTTAGTCCCAATTTCTACATTTTAAAAATGCTTTTGTATCGGCATCGACAGATGCCATGAAAAATGGCATGTACATGAAAAATATTGGTATTGGCCCACAATTCCTATATCAGTGCATCCCCAATTGCAATTGCTGTTGCTGTTTAAAGGGGAATTCCACTGATTTTCAAAATTTTGCAAAATTCAATCACTGAGATGTAAAGAGAGGTAGTGATGGGAACCAGAGCATACAGAGCATGCATTCAGATGTTATCATACATTTTCATTTTTAGAAATCAAGTTATTTATTAAGCTGTCTTATTACAGAAGGATTTAGTGTTTTCTTCAGATTCACGTAAACTTTTATTTGTATTTTTGTTCTCATTTCTTTAGGTCTTTGTTAACATTTGTTTAAATTGAATCGTCTTATTTATTTAGGTTTGATATTGTCATCGTCCACTCATGTGCGTTACAACTTACCCCACAGCCTGCCGGTATCCACTGGTCTCCATGACGACTGTGTGGAGGATGTTGAGGAGAAGCAGCAGGAGAATTTTGGGTAATGATGACACACGCAGGTAGAGGGCCACAGAGAGCGATGCCATCACACACGATAAAAATACATACGGACTGTATTTACACACACTCGCCCCTGCTGCGGTGCTGTTCACTATGACCACCGTTATAATGGAAACGCTGGAGTTCCTCTCCCAGGACCACGGCATGCACGCCACCTGTACAGCACCAGGCACACAAACACTTAGCTGTATTACAGTATTTATGATGGTTTGGCACTTAATGTATTACTGTTACCAAATAATACTACATCTAAATTAGATTTACACATTTGTAACATATGTGACATATTATTGTGTGTATCAATGGACAAAGTGTCCATTTTTATAAATGACAGTATGTTTTACATTGTTAGAAACCATATAAGCAAGTCTATTTGAGATTAACAAATTGTTTAATCAGGCACTCTGCACAATGTTAATTGGTGGGGTATAAGCTTCCATTACTTGTTAGCAACATTAGCCTTGTAGCTCCAGTGCAAAACGAAAGAAGCAAACATGAAACATTGAAACAGGTCTTGGCCAGTGTTTGGGGTAATGCGGTATGAAGTACCGCATCAGGGCTGCTGACAACACTTGCTTTCTCTGTGTCTTCATGGCTGTTGCTGATTTAAAGTCAAATGTATCAAGCTGGGCAAGTTTATAGTTTATTCAAAAATAGGTAGAAACTTGTTTAAGGGCTTTCATTTGTCAGAAAATTCATATTTTATTTAAAGAGATAACATGGGACCCCAAGTTCAAAATGTCTTTCCTATTCTTTACCCTTATAGGAGGTGAGTGACCCTATAATTCAAACCCTGGGGGAAAGGAAAAAAATTGCTAATTTGATTTTTTGTCAAACTATGACTGTCATTACTTATTTTAGCTTTAACATTAGCACTTGTACAATATTTTTCCATATAGTGATCAGCAAAATGTCTTTGAAATGTTTTCTTGTCCAGTAGAGTAAGACTCACAAATGTACACACACACACTCACCACACACCCCTGGGTCACGGAATATGAGAGCAGCACCAGAAAGCCACACAAAACTGTCCTAATCTGCAGAGTAAGACAGTCAGGAGAGCACTGGGGGAGAGAGAGAGAGAGAAAGAGATAGAGAGAGAGAGAGAGAGGGGAGGAGAAAATATATCATTAAAAATGCATTTTATCAGATATTTAGCATGTGAGTAACTATACCATACATTGCTTGGTGGGCCAGAATAGCAAAGGTCACAAGGTGAGAAGATGCCACTGTATGATTTGCTGTGTTTTCTTCTGTTTCAGAATGTCTGTAAGTGTTAGAGTGTGTTACCTGCACATGAGTGATGTGAAGGTACATCACACTCGCCGTATGAAAGCAGATACAAAGAACCAGCAGGATCACAATCACCAGACCTCTGTAGAGAGACATACAGAGAAGGACATGTTCTGTCAACACGCTTATTTGTGTGTGTGTGCGTGTGTGTCTGTCTCTCTGTGTGTGTATGTGTGTGTGTGTGTGTTTGTGTGTGCATGTGTGTGTGTTTGTTCTACATACTGAGGGATGATGAGAAAGTAGACGATAGCAAAAAGTGAAGTGAGAACCAGAGAGATTGCCACAGCATTGATAAAGCCATCATCATACACCTGCTGATACTGAGAGAGAGAGAGAGATAGATAGAGAGAGCGAGAGAGAGAGAGAGAGATAAATAACCAACACAAGATCACACTATAAACCACTTATAAACTTCAGTGAACATAAGACCAGTTAAAACAATAATGATTAATTTCAAATACCCACAACATTCACCAAAACATGATAGTTACTGAAAACATTTACCTTATTTTATGCAAATATTTTACATTATCAAGCAAATGTTCTTATCCAAAGCCGTTCACAATGCAAGACGAATGTACATCGGGAGTATTACCCAGCAACCCTTGATATAGTAGCGTCGTGCGTGCTTAGAGCACAGTATCACTTTGGTGTGTGGGATCATATACAGTACTATACAAATGTTTTAGGCACCTTTAAATTATATTTAACAAAAACAATTTATCTAGACAGTAAGTGGTTATTTGTTCAGAAAATACTGTTAGAATGAATAAAAATAACACTAATATGATAAGTAATGATTTTATGTATGTCAATGTGTTCACCAAACCTTTTCTCATGGTAGCTCAGTATTAACTGTAGTTTTCATCAAAAACCTGGTTTTGGTAATCAAAGCTTTATTAAGTCTTTTGGGGTCTAAGGGCACTTTCTCGATTTCTGTATAGCTTCTTAAATTTGCCTTTAACAACATTTCTATATAACATGGTATCCATATGTTTTATATCAAAATGCTCTGTTATCTTGATCGCTACTTTCCAAAACCGCTGCAGCAACTTCAGCAGCTGTAAACTTTCACCATATGATGGAATTGTGAGGGCGGCTCTACAGTTCAACATCTATGCAATTGCTGGAGGGATCAAAGTGAAGTACAGAACCAAAATGTTGTTTTTTATTCTTGTTACTTTTTATCACTGTAATGTTATTAAGAGCTTTTATTGACAAAAATGCACTTACTGCTGAGATAAATGACTTCAAGCAATTCGTTTAACCCTCTTATACAGTACTATATATGGAACATATATATATGGAAAAGTAAGTATTCATACCTTAGATATTCATAAGGTTTATGTTATGATCTATTTAAACCTAAGGCATTAATTGTATTCATATTTGTCATATTTAATTGTAATTGAGATTGTAATAATCTCTATTAATGTACAAAATCATCATAGAATACTTTCTATTGGGAGGTGGCTCTCCCAAACCCTAACCCCTAAACTGACACTTATAAAGATCTTTTAGATTTTCTTTGAAGTGAAGTTAAAAGATTTTGATTTATCATTCTCTTAATTTTTAAATAAAAAAACTTTATTCAGAAAATGCTATACCAAGTTTTCATGTCACTACCGAAACAGAGTTTTAATCCACAGGGAGAGCATTATTTTAGACACATACAAAAGTAATAGTGTCCCAAAGTCTGAAACATTTTTTTTGCAGTTAAGTAAACCTTTCTGTGTTTCAATGAACAATATGGTTTTATGTTTTGGTAGTGACAAAATGGAATGTTCAATCTTTTGTTTTGATAAAATAAACTAAGTTTTAATAAAATAAACTAAGCTAATTACGTTATAGGATCATTCCTATAGGGAGGGATTTTAGTCTAAAGTGCCAGCCAGGTAAAAATCTGAAGGGTTTTGAATTCCGACTTTGAATTCAATGTAATGATCCGTATCATCAGTCACTACCAAAACACTGTCTTAAAACTGTGCCCTGTGGTACAGTAAGCTATCAGAGCAAGCACTGGCACTGCAGTAACGCAGAGCTGGTTGTGATGCAATACGTGGCTTAGCTAGCAGGCCAACAGCGCCACATACCATATTTGAGAGTGCCAGTATCAAACATTGTGCCACTGTTATATTACTGAACAAAATCTGTCATCACAACTCACAACATATATGACATCTGCTATGACATGTTCATGGTATAGTTATGTCAGTCTTGTGTAGCAGGGTTAAAGTGTTACCGATTTTTCTGTATGGTATTTAATTAAGCAGTGCTTAATTGCTTAAATAGACAAGCCACCCCTGATGTGTACATGCTTCACTGCTGTGATTGGTGGGTATGCAGCAGTGTTGGTGAAATCCCACCCCGATCTGCCTGCAGCCTACCAGCAGCCCACTGACTGACTCATTCTCATCGTTAGCGCTGAGAGCTAGAGCCCGCATCACACGCGAAATGGCATTATACTTCCACTGACGCTGAGGAAAACCTCAGCTTCCTATCGCCAGAGAGACTGTATGTGTGTGTGTGTGTGTGGGCACGCTCTTCAGACATTCCTGAATCGTTACTGTCACCCGCGTTCTGTTAAGGTGGGTGGATCCCTTGTGCCAGCAGGGAGGTGTGAAGGATAGATAGAGAGAGAGAGAGAGACAGAGACAGAGAATGAAAGAGAGAGAGAATGAGGGAGGGGAGTAAATGTGGGGGTGAGAGGTGGATGAAAGTGAGAAGAGACAGGGAGTCACGAAGCACAAGAGAACAATGTGGGGGATGCAGTGTGTGTGTATGTGTGTCTGTGTGGGGGGTTTTGAGCCACTTTTTGTGCTAAAATTCTTTTTGTCCTTGTTTCTAGGTCTGTTCCCTCTCTTTTATTTAAAGCCCCTCAGTGTAATGCAGAAGTTTCACTTTGAGTAAGCAGGTGAGACTACGCTTTTGAGAAGAGATTGTGTATAACATCATTATAATTAGAAAACCTCCTAAATCCATTTTTTTGTACCTGAAAATGCCCCTTACATTGTGTTAAAATTTTATACAATACAATTCAGAACCATTGGCCAACTGTGCTTGCATACAGAGGAATTAAACTACTTGCCCAAAGCGGTGGGCAGCCCTATCCACAGTGCCCGGGGAGCAGTTGGGTGTTAGGTGCCTTGATCAAGGGCACTTCAGTCGTGTTCTGTTGGCTCACGGGAGCAAGGCACTTAACCCCCAACTGCTCCCCGGGCGCTGTGGATAGGGCTGCTTATGACAAACTGACCAACAGAAATTTTTAATATATATATTTTTAATGCTACACTAACACCTTAACCTTAACACTCAGCATGTTCATACTTCCCTTCATACTTTAATTAGAACAGGGTCAGTGGTGTGGAAATCTACTGGCTAATCACAAAATTAGTAATTAGGTGTCAAACTCCAAGAGTTCCATTGTTACCACACTGTCCTGGTAGGTTGTTTCTGTAATATAAAGCATGCTCACTATATATTCAGCTACTTTTCTCAAGTATATTTTATTTTCACCACCACCTCCCTCTCCCCTTATGTCAATTTAATTATTTTTTAAAGGGCACTTCTCATGGACAACTGAATGCCCCTTGCTATATATATATATATATATATATATATATATATATATATATATATATATATCCACCTACTCAGCCTACAGCAGTTCAGCCCGGCCTGTTCACATAAAAGTTAGAAAGGGTGTTGCATACCAGACTGCTTCTTGAGTGAGGCACAATACAAGGCAGCCAATCAGAACAAAGGTCATTTATATTAGTTTTAAAGGCACAATAAACAGCCTGTTTAGTTCGAGGTGATGAATAGATACATAAGTGGGCCTCACACAATGTTTTCCACATTCTCCTGCCAGCTCAGCAGGGTGGAAAGATGATAAGGTAATATCACACCTCCCAGCTTTTTTCTGACTGGTGAAGCCAGAGGTGTTACAGTCAAGACTTTCATTATAGTTACCAAATTCAGAGTAGTTAATAGATAACAAGCCTTATGATAAATCAGTAAATACTAAATCTAGAGTTTGAAGGGTTAACAGGGAGTTATAGCTATAACTAAACCTAACGTAAATTTAGTGTAATAGTTTTCATATGAACCTGTCCAGAGTGTATCCTGCCTTCCACCCAATGACAGCTGGGATAGGCTCCAGCACCCCCCACCCCAGGACCCAGAAGAATGAGCGGTTTAGATGGTGTGTGTGTGTTTTCATATAACAGTTACGTCTTTGCCTATAAGAGTATCAGTTAATTCAGATATCCATGTGGAAAGCAATCACGATAAATGGACAAACTGGGATGGAGGGGTCGCATTTTGTAACAATGAAGTAGACGCAAGAGCAAGCACAGTGACAGCATGTGAGGGAGCTAAATCTTTTTCAAATCAAAGAATATAATAAAGTGCAATTCAGTAATATACTATTATATTTTACAAAACTGTAATTAATAAATAAGTAAGAAAGAACAAAATTGCGAATATCACACAAGCTTTTAAGACTGCCTAGCCTGATGCTTTCTTCTCCAAAGCCATTTCGCCTGAGGCTGTTTGAAACGGCCCGTTTCACCTGATAAACGAGAGTCCAGACATGATTTCTCTTGTGTTTTTCCAAGAATAAAGCAATTTCATCTTGTGGTGTGGGGGGTGTCCCAAAATGTACGTGGCTTTTTTTGTACATAAACAGTGAATGTTACTGAGGACTGTTACCGTGGTAACTCGATTAACCGTCACCAGGCATAGGCCTAGCGACAGTATATATGTACTCACCCTCCTCTCTCTCTCTCTGCTCCGGTAGGTCAGAGTGATGTAATTGAGGTCTGCTGTCTCCGACTCAGTTTGCCGAGCTTCAATCAGTCGGCCAATGTAGCGGTTCACGCGCGTCCCGGGAGAATTATGCAGCGCTCCAGCTGAGAAGGAAGTGCGGCTGCGCAATTTCTCCGAAGCTGTGCGAAGAGCTCGTCTCTGGAAAGCCAGTGATAGTTATGGTCATTAGAGGTATAAATCTCGTCCACATATTCATTTGGTTCAATCAGGATTCCTTAGAAAACAATTCAACACATCATAAAACTTTTCATACTATTCCAAATTATTTTTTAAAGTACAAGGAAATATTTTTATACAGAAGTGGAATACAGACAATCAAACAATACATTTAACTTTTTGGGGGTTCACATTAGAAAATAGCCCAGAAATTGTACTTTATCCAAGATATTAGTGCATACTATGCTAAATATTATAATATAATGATGCTAGAATCCCAGATTCAATACAGATGAATCGCTGGCTTTAGATCAAAGCATCACAATGCACTGATGCATTTCTACAGCCCTAATGGGCAGCTAATCTACTGCAACAATGAGGCCTCTTCAAATTGTTTCAACATTCATTACAGCACTGCCTGCTCTGAGCTGTATTATTGATGAAATAATCAATGCTGGAACATGTTCACACAGATACTGAATGTCGTGACTTAAGACTAATCACACACAGAAAACAACTTCTAGATGCTTCATATGCACACATGCACGTGTACACTTACACAAATGGATATAAACATGTAAACAGAGAGAAGAATTAACGCATATGTATGACTCAATCTGCCATCTTACAGTGCATATTGTACACAGTGAAACAAATAAATAAATAAATGCCAAATAAGCACACATATCAATACCATCAAAAATCTAACACATATTAACAAATGATTATGCATTTTTTATAGAATTAAGTTTGTGCTTAAATTCACTGATTTTTATCAATAGAACTTGTTTCTAAGAAACAGAATACAGATAGTAAAGTTGATGCCTATAAACAAAATTATTTCCAAAACAAACAACTAAATAAATACATTTAAATAAAAAATTAAACAAATATATATATTTATATACATCCTCTAACAATTTGTTTTTAGCAACAACAAGACCTCAGCTTATCTTCTTCTGTATCTTCTTCTTTCCTGCTGCATCTCATGCTCTCATGCTCAAAATCAAGCAGCTCTTCATGAAGCTGCTTCATAATTTCTAGAATCTACAAATTTTATTTAATCCGTTTCTGGTCTCTGTATAACTCCATGTGTCATTGCATAGTTTGATATATTCACTGTCACTGTAAAATGTGGAAAATCCTTCTGTGAATAGGTACTTCAGACTGGCAACATACACACAACGTTCAGGGCTTCTATTCTTTTTAGGAAATCATTTTCCAGGACTTTTCTGGTACAAATTCAGCACAATTTCCTTGACTTACAGTCATATGCAAATTACATGTTTTACAAGTTCCCACATTCTCTACAGTGAACACACTTCTGCACATTTTAATGCACAATTACTGTTTGGACAATGATATCAGTAATACTTTCTCAGCTAAGAGTCTGCAGTCATCTGTTCAACTTCAAGTGGAATGTCAGTGAACAGACCTGATTAGAGGATTGTGTGTGTGCGTGTGTGTGTGTGTGCGTGTGTGCATGTGTGCATTGCATGTGATGAAACAAAACCCTCCAAAGCTTTATAATCTTTACATCAATCCAAATAACCATCTCACACTCACACGTAGACATGCATGTAAAAGTGCATAATCATACACACTAACCACACATACCTTATCATCGTCCTCGCAGGTCATGACGTTGGAGAAAGGAATCTCAGCCTTAAACATCTTCCTACAGTGCATGAGCTGCACCAGCAGATAGCAGACCGTCTTAAACTTCATCTTCTTAGCTGGCTTAATATCCGACAGAATCAAACCCGGAAAGATCTAGAGAGAGAGAGAGAGAGAGAGAGAGAGAGAGAGAGAGAGAGAGAGAGAGAGAGAAAGAGAGAGAGAGAGAGGGACTTTTTCAGTTTCTACCAACATCATAAAAAAAGGAGGAGAACTGACACTATCAGCACTTGTTAAAATTACAAATGGCTATAAAAAGAGCCGTAAGCTGGGGAAGTGAAAAAAGAGAGGAATGAAGTGTATAAAAATAAACCAGGATATAAAGAGGGGCTTATCTGAACGACTCCATTTCCAGGAACTGCAGATTGAGGTCAAACAGACTGGCAGCAAGGGGGCATGATTGTGTATATGTGTGTGTGCGTGTGTGTGTGTGTGTGTGTGTGTGTGTGCACGTGCACGTACGCATGTGAATGTGCGTATTTGTTTTGTCAAAGAACACATGCAAATGATGGCTTTGATAAATTTGCACCATTAATTTGATTTGCATTTCAAATAGTCCACTAACAAAGACAGCTGTAAAGTAGGTAGAAGACCAGGCAAAAAGAGATGATTCTTGATATGCGTAATACTGCCTGGTATAATCTCTTATAGAGCTGCAAGATTTGTACAATATACCTTTATTGAACATTATTTTCATTTGTACATGAATTCCAAAATTGTAAAAAACACATTAATGCTACGAACCAAGATATCAAGAAAAAATCTGTTTCTTCGGCTGTGTTGATCCACACCAAACTGATGGTTTGGAGTTGAGTTATCTTTGAGTCCTGATTATGTGTTATCATCTTCAATAACATATCCAGACAACTATAATTACAGTGTAAACACCATCATGACCACGGAAGTGAGTAATAGCTGCACATCATGTTTGATAGGGTTACTCAGTGTCCCTTGACGTTAGCTTCAGTTACATGAGCCCTGCTAACATTCTGGTGTCCTCTCAAGTCCATTCATTGTCTAGCTAAAGTATAAGAGATCTAAGTCAATCATCAGTCAAATATCAATCGTGAACCATTCTCAACAATTGAAATGGGTTGAATTTACCACTCTCTTGATCGCAGACTTTGCTGAGAGACAGTTGAAAGTTTTTCCTGTTTATTCGCTGGCTCAGCTCTTCAGCCTCTTTCCCCTCACAATATCAACAGCCAAAATTCTATAAACTCTTCCATCATTTTTTTGCTGCTTTTACTACAGTAGAGAACCATGCTACACACCATGGCTATATTTTATCTGTCAGCACACATTAACTAAAGGTGTACAAATGGTGGTTCTACAAGCATTGATGACCATGCTGTCATCACTGCATTGACTGGTGGTATGTCAACAATACGGTGGCGGAGACAAGTGTGACATCAACTGAATATCTATAGCAAAGTGCAAAGCTGCAATTCTCTTCGTAACAAGATCCAATGTAGCAGCACAAGAACAAGTTCCAATTTTTAGTGCTGACATCCAGTGGCTGTATGTTCCACCTCCTCCGTGATTGTGACCTCTTGTTCTGTTGAACATGCATTCAAGTAGTTCTTTGGGTGCTCATGGTTCTATACAGAACCAGTGCCTTCACTAAAAGGCCCTTGAAGAACCATTTTCTGAAAGTGGTCAAATTTGAGCATATAAGATAAATGTAAGTGTACACAGTAAAGGTGCAAAGTAAAATGGTCCTTGATGAGACTGCAGTATGCGCTCATAATGCATCAAAAAATAATGTTCGATTTACCAGGGCTGCTCAGTTTGTGACCTGCAACACATAGCTCGGCCTACTAACTGTGCGCTCGTGAGGCGCAGCGTTTAAAATAGGCAGTGAAATACTGAAACCGTCAATAATGTTGAGACAAAACAGAAAATGAAAGTTTATTGGTGAAAATATAGCTGTCTAAATAAAATGTTTTTTCACCAAAACAAGAAGAGATGTTATTAATAAATGAAGTTATTCTCCACCAAAATGTGTTATTCTACTAATTCTTCAGCCAAAAAAAAAAAAGTGAAATAATAACACAGACTGCATGCCTATATTGCAGCTGCATCCTGGCATATTTCATGCTTTGTCTTTATCACACATGTACACTTGATCCTGAAAGCTGAAAAAGTGTTATTTTGTTGCTAAGTATTTAATATATATGACAATACAAATTTATACTTGTTCTTAAAAAGCAAAGAATATTACACAAAAATGGCTCCCAGGAATGCGATCCTTCAAATTCATATGCATAAAGAAAAAGAAACATATTTTGCACTGTCCACAAACATGGCATGTTAACTTTGCGTTTATGCTTGTGTGCCAGTTTTATACATAACACATGGCCAGAATACGTCCGATCTGTGACCTGAAACCAACGCAAAAAGCTTCATTCACTGGGCCTTTCATGATTGGTAAGAGGCTCATTTGCATATTGTAGTTATGTGATATCATAACTGCCAAGGCCCATATCATGCTAGCAATTATCAAATCACATATTGTGCAGCAGTAGTATTTCTGTGCATGTATGTGTGCTTGACTACATGTGTAACTGTTTCAGACTGTATATGGCGAACGTGTGAGTATGTACGTGTATCTGTGTTACCTTGCGTCTGTGTGAGGGCACGATGAAAAAGGTCTCAATGGCGTGCTTGCTGAGGAAGGTGTGTCTCTCGTGGCCGTTGCCCGGCTCCACCTCGTAATCTCCGTTCAGGCACTCCAGCGTTGCCCTGGTGATATGAACCTTGCTGTGGAGAACACAGAGAGAATGTTAGCTCAGTTAGCTTTCTCCTCGCTAAGGCCAGTGCATTACCTCCCTCAGAACAAGCACCCAGTGAAGGAAAAAGAGGACTGTAATTCATCTGGCATTCATTTTAAATCTTATGTGTGACTGATTCTACAGTTCCTGTTTCTTTATACACTGTATGGTTGATCATACAGACATTTTGGAGATACAAGGTTTTGTTCCGACAACAGTGATGTGTTCTATGTGCAATAGGCGCTCATAGCATGTGTGATCGTTCATTAACTGCCAGGCACCTATTTTGGGTCCATGTTTGACTGGATATCTTGCATGTCTTGAACTTTATTCAACTTGTGTAATTCTCTATTGGTCTCTTTTCATGAGCAAATAGTTTCTAAAGGCCAGAGCACACTGACTGGACAGTGTACAGGGTATATTCTGCAACACTCAGCTTCATGTTCATTAATGTGCCTTCCTTAGTATGGAATAGTACATGAGAAGGTTTTGCCTAAATAAAGATTTGACAATTTTCTTTTCCAAACTAATGTTAAAAGCACATATTAAAAACTCATTAAAGTGATTTAAATAGCTGAAAGACTGGAGTGATGACATCAGTGATCTTGTCAGTTCTTTCTTCAGTTTTGCCATTTTTCTCTGCAAAGATCTTCACAGCTTTCTATTTTTAATTTATTAGTGAACCAGCAATGAAAACATAGTGATTTATTAAATACACTTTGAAAAGCTAGATGTTCACAAACTTTTGACAGGCAGTGTAATCTCAGCATCAAAAGAGGCAATGTAGGTAGGTTAGTTTGTCTCAGATAAAGAACATCATGCAATTTATTGGAAAATGGCAAAAGAGTGTTGCCAGCAGAGCTGCACCACCTGAGGGTTAATAAGTGCTTGGCCCAAGGGCACAACTAGGAATACCCAGTCACTCCTGGGATTTGAACTCACAGGTGCTGGCTCACCTCTCCTACCACTTGGCTACCGGCCACCTGGCAACCACTTTCTCAGCTCCAGTCTAGTGCAGACTGCAACCAACTTTAACCAACTTAAATTTACTGTCAAAATCCTGCTATGCTATAAAGACACACATGTCATCTCCACTCAGTAGCTTTTCTGATTGGTTTGATTACATATTGAACCAGCACTTTTAGTGGCAAGCCACTGTGCTTGTTCTGTCAGTGCTGGCTGAATGTCCAAACATAAGTGGTTACGAAGAGACTGACACTGACCCAGGAAGCCCCCCTGCCTCCATCATGTTAGCCAGTGTAACGTCGTTTGACCACACGTCATACTGCCACTTCCTCAACCCCAGAACCCCACACAGCACACGGCCCGTGTGTAAACCCACACGCATATTCAAATCCACCTCCGTCGCCTCAGCAACTGCCCTGCAAATATACACATATACAGACACAGAAAAACACAAAGGTTCATACCCGTACATGTTACAAGCACAATAACACACAATGACGTTTGGCATACGCTTACATTAAAAGTTTTTGGCAGATGCTCTTCTCCACAGCAATTCTAATGAAGTTAATCATGTTACAGAGGAAGGAGTATGTAGCATTAAGGGTCTTCCCCAAGGACTCTTATTGATATAGCATGGTGTTTATGTCTTGACAGGGGATCAAAACCCCCTCTGCCACATAGAGAGCTGCTGTGTCTATACAAGTTCAGTATATATACAGTACTGATTAAAAGTCAGAGACCATTCTTCATTTACTTAATTTCTAATTACAACTGCCATCAAGTACAAGTTATTCATTTTTCAGCATCAAAAAGATATATTAATGCGTTAAATATATTTAACAGAAATCACACAGAAGCGTCAGCAACTCAGCCTAATTTGAATTTCATAGCATTTAGTGTGTCTCTGGAGACTGCACGGCTGTTAAATTCATTACAACTTTCCTTCTTTTTAGGAGACTGGCTTCATCATTCTGAGTTTCTCAAAGATGAAAGCTTCAATCACTGTACATCTTATTGTTCTCTATATCTTTTAATAATTGTTTTTTCACATATTTTCATTTGGCTTTCCTTTTTTTATGCAAATGGATTGGATTTCCTCAGAAATATCTCCTGAAAAACTAATAACTTGTACATAATAGTGGTTTTGACAGCAAATACATAAGTGAAGACGGGTTCTGCGTTTTTTCTTCTTGCGTCCTCATCTCACTATTTATACTATAATTCCTATCTTATATATGAGGCCAATAGGCAGCCATTTCTATTAGCTAAAGAGAGCAAGAAAAAGAAAAATTTCTGGTTTTGAAGCACCGAGGAGATTCTTCTGTCAACTCACTACTTACCTGTGATCAACCAAGGGGAGGAAAGAGAGAGAGAGAGAGAAAGAGAGAGAGAGAGAGAGGGTTCACTGGGTTTATTTTTAACAACCCAACCTGACCGAGTGTATGTGTGTGTATGTTTGTGAGAGAAAAGCAGAAAAAGCTTGAGAGCCTGAGATTCCCTGAGATGTCACAGTGCGAGAAAAAGAGCTCTAAATGTGTGTGTGTTGTGTGTGTGTGTATGTGTGTGTGCGTGTATGTGCATACACCTGTGTGAGGTGATAAGAGAACTGCCAGAGCCATCTTAGAGACCAGAGGAGGAAATGACCACTGACTGAGCAGTCAGCTTTCAATCATACAAACACACACACACACACACACACACACACACACAGCAAGACATACTGAAAACAGTCGTTCACTAAAAGCAAACTGATACAGCACAGAGGAGAAATCACTGAGGCTATTCACTTCATTCACCTGAAAACTGTAAACAAGTAAACAAATCTAGAACTAACTGATTAATCTCTCAGGAAAGGTGCTACATAATCCATTTAACTTTAATAAACCATGGAAAGCTCCTGACAGCATAGCTGCACGGATTAATAGTAGTTAATAAACTATCCCTCACACTTATTACTTTGTTGTTGATTTTAAAGGAATGATTCAACAAAAAATAAAATTTACACACAAATCTAAAAGTGTTTTCTGGACTGATGCCATAGAGGAACCAGATTTGGTTAAAGTTCAAATAATCTGCATATAATATAAAAGTAATTTAAGTCAAGTTCTTTTTCCTAGAAACATTTCAAACCAAGAACCATTTAGGAACCTTTACCTTTAAGAGTGTACTATATAGATAACTTAATAAAGGTAACAGTTGTATAGAGAGCCATGGTCAAATGACCATTTCATGTTTAAAAGGTTCTTTGCCGGGTTCCCTAGTTCTTCTCTATGATGGAGAAACTGTCATATATGGTTCTCTAAAGAACCTTTTTAAAAGTATTCCTAAGAGTGTAGCCTCATAGCACCAATGCAAAACTAAAGAAGAAACCTTCAACAACTCCTATGAAACTAATATGTAATTATGAGAGAGGTAATGAAGAATGAGCCAATAAATGGAACCTCAGGGTTTAACGGGTTAAGATTAATATGTGAATGATGAGCCTGAAGAGTAAACTCTAGATCTGCTTAGCCCAGTCCAGGTCCTGGAGATCTACCACCCTGGAGAGTTCAGATCCAGCACACCTGGCTCTATTATTCAGATGCCCCTGACGTCCGTCATTACATGGAACAGGTGTGTTAGATTAGGGATGGAGCTAAACCCTGCAGGGTGGTAGATCTCCAGGGCCTGAACTGAGCACCCCTGCTCTAGACTGAAGTCTGCCAAGCAAACTTAGCAAAAAAAAAAAAACTCAGTGACTGTTTCAAGCTAACGGTCATCTGGACGATGTCATCAGACTTGGCATCTCAGTGAACCACTCACTCATACACCCACATGGCAGTCTGTTCTGTGGCTGGGTTTCAGTACAGCTGAAAAAACACACAATCCCTCAGTTAGACTACAACAAAAGTGCATGTAAAATCATATCTCTTTGAAGTTAGTAATTACTGAAAGCTACCACAGCCATAGCGATCGCATTTCCCAATAAAGCATTATCTCTCTCTCTCTGAATATAGCACCATTCAAGGATTTGTCTCATTACCATCTTTCTCAACTGCTGAAAGTTCATCTAATTTATCAAAACAACTCATGCAATCCCTATTACAGTATCAAGGTCTTCATTTTAATTGCTTTCACACAAAGCTCATTTGTCAAAGGAACGTAGAGTAAATGTTTCAGTGCACTTGTATGCAAATATTTTGTCTTACAAAATGTAAAATGTAAAATTAACTACTGTTTTTTAGGCTTTGAAGTGTTTTGGTATCTCAGGTCATTTTAGAATCAAAACGCCTTGTTTTGTAGAAAGAAAATTTGATGGTGCGAATGTCTAAGCACTGGTGCTATCACTGGGAGAACAATTGGCCTTGCTCTCTCTGGGTTGGTAGGAAGCCCCCCACCACCCCCAACCTCCCAACCTGGCACCTTTATTTTCACAAGTGTAAAACATTTGCCTGTAATTATGAGATGTCCAGGGACTGGAGTGTATGACCTGTGGTGTGTATTATGTATTTGTAGCGTTTGTGGCGGATGTGGAAACACACTCACGTGATGGTGTCGATCATGTCCAAGCCCATCTCCACACAGCAGTGGGCATGGTCAGCTTTGGGTTGGGTCAATCCTGACACACAGTAATAACAGTCCCCCAGGATCTTTATCCGCCTGCAGTGGTTCTCCTGTCAGTCACACACAAAGTGGCATGATGGGAAGACCAAATGGATTCACTGGAGGAAAACAGTGGTGCCTGTGTTTCTACAGTAGGTATAATGACAAGGCCATTATTTCTAAAATCAGCATTCATATTCATTATTTCTAAGGTAACTGAATAAATTTACACATTATTGATATTCATCATGATACACCTCTAATTCAGAGTGCAATGGATTTTGCTACTGCTTCCTATTGCAATAAATGAGAGTATGTGAAAGGGTGCGTGTTGTGTGGTTGCTGCATATGTGTGCTGTGTTTTGCATATCAATAGTGGAAAATACTGCACTAGAGTTTGGGGATATCCCATTGCTCAGAGAATATGCAAAAAAAAGCATAGAGAGTAGAATAATGTGTGAGAGAGAGAGCGAGAGAGAGAGACAGTGCAAGAGAGAGAGAGAAGGGGGGCATTTGTACAATGCTGAGATAAACTATTGAAGTAGAATTCCTCCCACTCATGCCTTAGAAAGCCAGAGAGAAAGAGGAGCTTAAAGACACACACCCAAAAAAAAGCTTATTACAGATACCTATATACTGGTATATATAGTAGTTACTCAACATAAAACAATCATCTGCACTTAATAACATCAATACTTCCTTGCTAATGATTTTGCCAAATTAATTGAACTATTTATGTATTCATGCATTTGTTTATTCATTCATTCATTCATTGATTTATTCATTGATTTATTTATTTAGTTAGTTAGTTAGTGTACATAATGTCTCACATTCTTATGGTACAGATGTACCCGAATTTAAATAAATTACACCCATCCATCCATCCATACATTCATCCATGCATCATCCCCCGATGGAAGCAGAAATGTATGATTCAGGAGTAAATCAATATGTGAGATCCCTCAAGCTACAATAGTTTAGTGAATCATTAGTCAAACTGAACCACTGCAATAAAACATTTATAACCACAAAATGATTTTTTCTTTCTTTTTTCTTTTTTTTAATCATTACATTTCCGACCATTACACATCTGTTCAAACACTGTAACAGAGAGATGAGATTTTTACATTATCTAAAAACTGAAAAAGATGAGTTATGAGATCTCATATGCAATGACAGTATAGATATCCACAGTGATGCCTAGAAATGGGACGGGGAAAAGAGAAGATAATAGAGCAGATGAGGAGAGGAGAGAAGAGGAGATGAAGAAATGGTAAAGGAAAGGAGAGTAGGGTCAAGTCAAGCCAAATTTATTTATATAACATTTTTTACAACAGGCGTTGTCACAAAGCTTTACAGAAAATCCAGGGCCAAGCGCCAATGAGAAGGCCAAGGGTGACAGTGGCAATGAAAAACTCTCTAAGAGGAAAAAGAAGAAACCTTAAGAGGAACCAAGATTCAAAGGGGAAACCCATTATCCTCCGGATAACTGGATAAGAAAACAGTAACACAACAAGAGCAATATGAACAGAGAATAGGCTTTTACAATTCATATACAATATTGAATATAGAAAAAAAGAAACCAGCCTGTCATTGGACAGACATATTTAGATTAACCAATGATAACCATTGTCTACTTTTAGGTTCATATCACAGTAACAGTAACAAATAGATTTAAGAAAATCATTATTCCCAGTAAAAACCAGTGACTGTTAAGAGCATATCACGAGTTAAATCCATGAATATCAGTGATTATCGTTAAAGCCTATAATGATGATCTGTTATGTATATGAGAAAAGCTCAGTGTATTGTGAAGCAGGTGAAACAACATCTATGATTAAAATGTTTGAGTCTATGCAGGCATTAGTATCACCAGGATGGGCAGTTGTTTAGTTCGACAAACAAACACACCGGCAGTTAGTTTTTTTTTTGAGGTCATTGAGAACAATATATAGTGTTAACAGAGTGCAAGCACTGACTCCAGCAGGCCTTCATAATACAGGATAAGTTCACGCAGGTACTGAGGGACGAGGCCTTTTAGAGCTTTATATGTCAGCAGCTGAATTTTGTACTCTGCGGATTTTAACTGGCAACAAATGTAGCGTTGATAGAACTAGCTGCAGCATTCTGGACTAACTAGAGCTTGTTAAAGCTTTTGCTGGAACATCCAGACAGCAGAGCATTCCAGTAATCCAACCTCAGGATAATAAAGGGATGAACTAGCTTTTTCACATCCTGTAGGGACAGTGTATTTCTTCACTTGGCAATATTTTATAGATGAAACAAAGCTGTTCTAGTAATATGTCCAGTGAAGGACAGTTTAAGATCAATTGTGATGCCAAGGTTTTTTAGATGTACCCAATGCAACTGGGAAGCTATTGAGATTTAATGTTAAATTAGACAGTTTCTAGCAGTTTTTGGACCAAGAAAAAGAACCTCTGTTTTGTCCAAGTTAAGCAGGAGGAACTTACTTGACATCCAATTTTTATTACTTTTAAGTTAAAATCTATTATCTGGTTTGACCAATATATACCAAAGTGTGTCATCAGCGTAGCAGTGGAAATTGATGCCATGTTTACTAATAATAGTGCCCAGTGGTAGCATATATAATGTGAATAATAGAGGTCCTAAAACAGAGCCTTGTGGAACACCATATTTTACATACAAACAGATGATTCACTGTTTACATTCACAAACTGATAGTGTTCAGTCAAGTAAAATCTGAACCAGGAAAGAGCTATTCCTGTTACACCCACAAGGTCTTCTACTCTCTCTAGTAGGATAGCGTGGTCTATCATATGACATACAGAACCAGTAAAGATAGATGTACTTGGTCATAGAATAATAAGAGATTATTCACAATTTTCACTAGCGCTGTCTCTGTACTAGAACGAGGCTTAAATCCAGACTGAAACTTTTCATGTATGTGATTTCTATGCAAGTAGGAACTTGGTTGTTGCACCATAGCTTTCTTCGAAATCTTTGATATAAAGGGTATTTTTGGCATGTAGCCAATGATAAGAGAAGCCAAGGCTAAGAGAAAATTTTATTATTGATAATCCTGTGAATTTACAAAAGAAATATCATCAGAAATAAATATTTCTTTGAGTAAACTTGTAGGAATTATATTTAGTATGCAAGTAGAAGGTTTTTAGGAGGAAATCATTTTTACCAGCTTTGTTGAAGTAAGGTAACTGATTACAGCCTCCCTGTAGTAGTTACACTGTACTCAAGATCTGCATTTGCTTTGTAGGGAAGCAGGTTTGTAGTGGTTAACTGTGCATTTTGAATTTTTCACCAATTAGTTTGAATTTCAGTATTGAAAAAAATCATGAAATCATTGCTGCTGTAGGTTGATGATATCTGGCATCCAGTAGCCGTTTGGTTCTTAGGTAATTGTGCTACATAATAGTCTAGGATTATTCTTATATTTTCAACCAGAGAGGAGAGAAAGGCTGAGTGTGCCACAATAAGTGCTCTTCTGTAGTCTATAGGGCTATCCCTGCAGGTAGATTGTAATATTTCTAGTTTAGTCAGGCACCATTACGTTCTAGTTTTCTGACAGTTTGCTTCAGTGCTTGAGCATGATCACTGCACCATGGGGCAAGCTATTCCTGCCTCATTCTGCCTCAAAGTAGAGCAAAAAGTATCCTCTTAGCATTCAGTCATAATATCTAACTCGGTAAGTTGAGATGGACAGCTAATAGAAGTTTACAGATCTCTGAAGCTACTTGCTTTGGAGGATGTTATGTTACACGCAACACAACATAATATAAACATACATTATGACTAAAGCGGATTTCCTATTAGATTAAGTAATGATGTGTGATTGCTATGCTCTGGGGTAGAATTGCTAAATGATCTGTGTTCAAACCAAAGGTCAATATTAGGTTGAGTGGGGTTGCAATAATGAATAGGCGCCATTATATTTTGAGTAAAACCAACAGAGTGTAAAATAGATACAAATGCCTTACTTAGTGGATCCTGCGGTTTGTCAAGGTGCATATTATAATCTCCTACAATTATTAGTTTAACTGAGGAGGTTAGTAAACTCAGAATAAGGCTGTGATGGCCTGTAGATTGTGATTAGTGAAAATGAATTGTTATTTGTTGCTTAATCACTTATAATAAGAAAAAAGAATTCAAAAGAAGATCATTTGTAGCCTGCTTTCTGATTTATGCCCACAGCATTTGTATAAATGGTTGCTATGCTTCCACCTCAGCTGTTTAAATGAGGGCTATGTACATAATTGTAGCCTATTTGGGGGGGTTCATTTAGAGCATAGTATTTTTTAGGTCTAGTCCACGATTCTGTGAGGAATAGAGCATCAAAATCATGATCAGTAATGATGTCATTTAATACAACAGCCTTAGATGTAAGGGATCTTATGATAAACAATTCTAGTTTTAGACCAAAGGTGCTGCCATTGCTAACTGATTGGTCTAAATTTCAGATTATATCTAGTCTAATATTGATTAGATTAGTAAAACAAGCTTTTCAAGGTTTTTGAAAATTTGTTTGATTCAGGGAACAGACACAGTCTCAACTGAGTGGAACCCACGTGGTGTCTCAAGGCAGCTAGCAGATAGGATGGTCGGTTTAGCCAGTCTCTCTGCTGATATGTCAGACTGTCCTACAGTGATAGCTATCGAAGAGACTACATACTATGCTACAAGAAGTGAGAGCAGCACAAGATCTCCCATGTGAGGTGGATACCGTCCCAACTCAAAAGACCAGACTTGCCCTCAAAAGTGGACAAAATGTCTATAAAGCCTACTTTGTTTTCTTTGGACCACTTGGACAGCCAGCAGTTTAGCGACCTTAACCTGCTATAGATTTGGTTGCCACATCAAACTTGTATGTCGCCAGAGCATATTACGTCATCGGACATCGTCTGTGCTAATTTACACACCTCTTTGATGTTATTTGTAGTTATTTCTGACGTTCACAGATGAACTTCATTAGTACCTACACAAACAACTATTCTAGAAAACCTACAGTTAGCTAACAGCTTCAGCTTCCCTCCAATGTCCGGCGCTCTGGCTCCCAGTCTACAGCTAACTGCTACTG